TGTGTGTGTGTGTTTGTGTGTGTGTGTGTGTGTGTGTGTGTGTGTGTGTGTGTGTGTGAGAGAGAGAGAGAGAGAGAAAGAAATCAGGCGCGGCGCCACTTTGTCAAAACGCCTCGATCGATAAGGCACCACGCTCCCCGCACACACAGGGAGACTATCACTTTGTGAACGCAGAGGGAACGGGAGCGGCCGCCGCTGCTTTTGGCCTGTTTTGATTTCGACCACGACAGGCTGCGAGGTCTGTGTGTGTGTATGCGTGTGTGTGTGTGTGTGTGTGTGTGTGTGTGTGTGTGTGTGTGTGTGTGTGTGTGTGTGTGTGTATGTGTGTGTGTGTGTGTGTGAGAGAGAGAGAGAGAGAGAACATCTCTGTTTCTGAATCTGGCTAAGAACTGCTTCCAGATTCAGACAAAATCATCCAGAACAGTGACTAGGCCGATTGGGCCGAAGTGGGTGGGCTGGGCATGAGGCCTGGGTCCACGCCGTTTCATTTTTGAATTTCAAGGACCTGCAACCCCCACGCCGTTTCAAAATATTTTTTGGACCACGGCCACCTACCGGTTCCCAGGAAAATGCCACAGGCAAATACCGGTCCTGCATTTGCTTGAACTGCCGCCCCCCCCTAAATGCCCGTGCCTTTCATTTTACTAGCCTTTCAACAACCAATGGGCCCGAATGAAAGACCGGTCTAACGAACGACGACGAAAAATGTCTCAAGGGCATAAAACGCAACCCTGACGGACTGCAAACTTACCGTGAGGGCACGGGTGCGCGGCCCGTAGTTTGTATATGTTTGATTGATAAGGGAGGCGTTATTGGTAAGGTTTAGAAGTAGGGTGATTGTTGCATGGAAAAAAATGAGTATTTGTGTGTATGTGTCACGTGTCGGATTTAGGTAATTTGTATGGTATTAATGTATTAGGTATTTGACATACCTTGATTCATAGTTGGTGTCGAGGATGGTGGTCCTTGAATCTTGGTCCATATGTCGTATATGTGTGTGCTTGAGCGTTTGTTGTTGTAAGTTTTTTTTTTCTTTTGTCACATGTGACTCACGCAATGGGGCACTAAACGTGTGGGGCGTTGAATACGTTCATGTTAAGACACATTTGTTTGCACTTGCAAATGCAAATGCAATGCAGGCGTGTCATTTCAACCTGCGGCCAAGGCCACACCCTTTTCGATTCAGACTTTTTCACTTTTCTACCCTGTCGCTGCTTTGTCACCGTTTTGACCAAAACCCAACGTGCGGTCTCATGGGCAGCTACCGGCCCCGCATTTTTTTAAAAAACTGCCACCACCCGCCAAAGATTCACCCTGCCACTGCTTTGCCACCGGTTTGACCGAAACCCAGAGAGCAGTCCCACGGGCAACTACCAGTCCTGCATTTTTTTAAGAAACTGCCATTACTCCCCAAAGTGTCGTGTCTGCACCTGCTTGCATTTTTCGAACCTTCCAACTACCAAACGAGCTTGAATCAACGATCGATATAACGAAGGACGACAAAAATGTCTCCAAGGGAATGTCTCAAGGGAGGAAAACGCACCCCTAATGGGATGCGAACTTTTGTACTTTTCAACCCTGCCGCTGCTTTGTCACCGTTTCGACCAAAACCCAACGCTTGGTCTCACGGGCAGCTACCGGTCCCACATTTTTCAAAAAAACTGTCACCCCTCCCCAAAGATTCACCCTGCCACTACTTTACCACCGTTTCGACCAAAACCCAGTCGGCGGTTCCATAGGCAGCTACCGGTCCCACATTTTTCAAAGCAACTGCCACACCCCCCAAAGTGTCGTGCATGCACCTACCTACATTTTTCGAACCTTCCAACGACCAAACGAGCCCGAATCAACGACCAGTATAACGAATGATGATGAAAATGTATCGGGGGGGAAATGTCTCAGGAGGGAAATGTCTCAAGGAGGGAAACGTACCGCTGACGGATTGCGAATTTTTCAAAAAAACTATCACCCCCTCCCAAAGTGTTGTGCCTACACCTGCCTGCATATTTTGAACCTTCCGACGACCAAACGAACCCGAATCAACGACCGGTATAACGAAGGACAACGAAAAAGAAGTTGCACATATTGATTTCTCGTGAGGGCATAGGTGCGCAACCCGTAGTTTGTATATGCTTGATTCATAAAGGAGGCGTTATTGGTGAGGTTTAGAAGTGGGGTGATTGTTGCATGAAAAAAATAGTATTTGTGTGTATGTGTCAAGATTAGTGTGTGTGTGTTTGTGTAGGGTGTTTGTGTTTATCACATCTGTTAGTGTTCGAATGTGTGAGATTTATGTAATTTGTATGGTATTAATGTATTAGATATTTGACATACCTTGATACATAGTTGGTGTCGAGGTTGGTGGTCCTTGAATATTGGTCCATATGTCGGATATGTGTGTGTTTGAATGTTTGTTGTTGTAAGTTTTTTTTTTAATTAAATAAAAGTTGTTTTGTCACATGTGACACACGCAATGCGGCGCTAAACGTGTGGGGCATTGAATACGTTCATGTTCAGACACACTTGTTTGCACTTGCAAATGCAACTCAAATGTGTGTTTCAACCTGCGACCAAGGTCGCACCCTTTCCGATTCAGACTTTTCCACTTTCCACCCTGTCGTTGCTTTGCCATCGTTTCGACCAAAACCCAACGCGCGGTCTCACAGACAGCTACCGGTCCCGCATTTTTCAAAGAAACTGCCACTACCCCCCAAAGATCCACCCTGCCGCAACTTTCCAACCGTTTCGACAAAAACCCAGCGTGCGGTCCCACAGGCAGCTACCAGTCTCGCATTTTTTAAAGAAATTGCCACCCTCCCTCAAAGTGTCGTGCTTGCACCTGCCTGCATTTTTCGAACCTTCCAACGACCAAACGAGCCCGAATCAACGACCGATATAACAAAGGACGACGAAAATGTCTCACGGGAAAAAAACGCACCCCTAATGGGCTGCGAACTTTTTCACCTTTCCACCCTATCGCTGCTTTGCCACCATTTTGACCAAAACCCAGCGCGGGGTCCTACGGGCAGCTACCGATCCCCCATTTTTCAAAGAAACTGCCACCAACCCCCAAAGATTCACCCTGCCGCTACTTTGTCACCGTTTCGACCAAAACCCAGCGCGCGGTCCCACAGGCAGTTACCGGTCCTACATTTTTCAATGAAACTGCCACCCTTCCCCAAAGTGTCATGCCTACACCTGTCTGCATTTTTCGAACCTTCCAACGATAAAACGAGCCCGAATCAACGATTGGTAGAACGAAGGATGAGGAAAATGTCTTGGGGGGGAAATGTCTCAAGGAGGGAAAACGTACCCCTTACGGGCTACGAACCGGTCAAACTTTAAGGGTATTCAACGGTATGCAGTATAAGGCCATAATGCTTCAAACACCAATACTTGGCCCATACATCGACCACAGACTCATTTCAGCACGCGCTGCAACTTTCAGGGCCTCAGCGCCATTGATAAAATTCATCAACGACCATTTTCACATTTACAGTCTCCGGGAATCAAGGTGAGGGACCAACAACCAATGTATGGACCAAGTACTAATGGTTTCAGGCCTTCACAAATAGTGAACCCAAAAGACCACGATAAAAAAACTCTTGGAATATCACGAGCCTTGGAAGGTAGTTTCGGATCTAGCAGCCTGATCAGTTGGTAAGGCACGCAAGCTACATTTAGAAGGTTATGGGTTCAATCCCCATTGGACTCGTGTACCATCCTGACATGCTTGGCGCCGACCACCTAGAGATAGATCGTTGGCCCCTCGAGTGACATTGAGCCGAGACTACGAACATTCGTAAGGGGAGGGGACCAGAGAGGAGTCCACAGAAGAAGCTCACTCCAATGCCACTGCCTGAACCCTGGTTGTCACACCCACATGCAAGTCGGTTGCAACCTTCGCATGTCCCCTCGTTGGAGGCTTGAACTCGGATTGACTGCTACAGGGTCCCCGTAATACTATAATGATAATACGAGAGGCATCGAGCAACATTGAGCATAGACTGTTGACGTTCATAAGGGAAGGGGACCGGGCGGGAGGGAAGGCACAGTGGTTGGCCTATCGAAAAAGCTCAGTTCCAATGCCACTGGTTGATCCCTGTCCGGTATCACCCACCTGCAGGTTGGGTGTAACCCCCACATATCCCCTCGTTGGAGGCTTGACCCCGGGTTGGCTGCTACAAGGGCCCCATAATATTATAATGATAATAAAAGAGGGATTGGAGGTCAACCTATCGAAATTTAACAGGTACTTGGATTAGTTGGGCTTAGAGAATAAACTTAAAAAAAAACAGAAACAAAATAGTATAGTCC